ATTTGAATAAAATATAGAATTATAAAGGGAAATTCAAGGTACTGTGTAGCCTAGTGGGTAGCGTGGTAGTCTGATAGCCAGAAAGTTATTAGATCAATGCTTGCCTAGGATGTTGTTGTATTTTTCTTTTTTTGGATTATTTTAAAAATTTTTTTTTCTTTTTATTTAAATTTTTTCTTTTATTTTTTTTTAATATATAACAGATAAATATTATTCTAAAAGTTTAAAGAAAATTTCAAAAAAAATATTGTTATAATAGCTAAGTACATAAATATGTATGTATATTTTTTTAAAGCTTTTAAAAGCTTTAAAAATTTAAATGTGATTTATTTTAATATTCGAAGTCTCAGGAACAAATTGGGGTCCTTGGAATTTTGATACGGTCTTATTCTTGTAAAATTCATATTATCGTCTTAACTGAAATATGGTTAAGAGAGACGGAAAACAAGTTTTTTTTAATATACCAGGATATGTAGCTTACTTTTCAAATCGTCGAGGCTCTTATGGAGGTGTTGGTATTTATATAATTGGGGAAATTAGTAGTACTTTGGTACATAGTGAGGAATTTGATAAATCAAATTTTTTAGTTGTTAAATTATTGAGGAACAATTTAAATATTGTAGCGGTTCATAGGTCACATGCGACAAATCAATATAACTTGATACAAAGGGTTGACGATATTACATCAAAATTTTCAAATTCAGTTGTGGTTGGGGATTTTAATCTAGATCTTCTGAATAACGAAGTTATTCGGGCTTATGTGAACGCATTATATACTAATGGTTTTATTGTATGTAATAGGCTTTCAATTGATTTTGCTACTAGGTTTTGCTACTAGGTAGGAGATCTATTGAGATTTGAATATACTTTTCTGATTTCCGATTGCTGTCTGTCAGATCACCAGATGTTTTTTGTAAGTATTGACCTAGAACCGATTTCTCAAGCAGTTAATATGACTAGAAGTGTTTTAAATTACGGTGGGGTAGATGCTGATAGGATTTGGAGTTGCTTTTCTTCTTACACTTGTTTTGACTCGCTAGTTCGAGATTTGTGTCAGGTTGTGTCTAATAATACGGAGACGGTCCCTAACAGACATATTAGGAAAAAAAAAGAGTGGATGACAGAAGAAATTTTGTCAAAAATGAAAATTAGGGACTCCTTTTATAGATTCTCGCGAAAATATAGAGATGATGAACATATATTAGAATTGTACCGTAAATATAGGAATGAGGTAAATAAATTGATTGACCAGGCCAAAAAAGTTTATTTTTCGACCCAACTGTTGAGTGGTGGCTCTGATGGCAGGAAAGTATGGAGGACATACAACGAAATTATGTACAACAAAAGATCAGTTGCTAGGTCCACAATAAAGGTATTAAATATTAATGGTGAGTCTTTGGACGAAGAAATTGTAATAGCTGATAAAATTAACGAATTTTTCGTTAACATTACTGATGATCTTAATATTGTCACAGGTAGTTTAGATCTGAATCATATAGGGAGTTTTAGTAGAACAATTCATAGTGGTTTTGACTTGTGCCTCACGAGCTCCGGGGAAGTCAAAGATGTGATTTCTTCATTAAAGCCTTCTGCTGCTACGGGCTATGATCATATTTCAACAAAATTTATTCAAAGGTACTCTAATTTATTGGCTCCTGTATTAGCAAATTTGATAAACAGGTGTTTCCAGAATTCCACTTTCCCGCAATCGTTGAAAGAGGCAATTGTTGTTCCGATTTTTAAAGGGGGGAAGTACTACGGATCCGCCTAATTACAGACCAATATCCATTTTGAATGGTTTCTCTAAAATTTTTGAGTTGGTAATCAAGGCACGTCTTAATACTTTTATTTCAAATAATGGTGTCCTTCATCCGGAACAGTTTGGTTTCGAAAAGCACTCTAGTACGGGTGCTGCTTGCCTTAGTTTGACTCACTTTATTACTACGAATCTAGATAAGGGTAAATTCGTCGCTTGTTTACTTTTGGACCTCAGGAAGGCTTTTGACTGCGTGGATCACAGGATTCTTTTTGAAGAAGCTCAGAACTTTTAATTTTACACCTATTCAGCTTGCTTTTTTTGACTCTTACTTGCGGGGCAGAGTCCAGAGAGTTCGTAATGGGAGTTATGTTAGTTCTGGAAGAGTTAGTAGTAGGGGAGTGCCGCAGGGCCAAGTTGGAATTGAAGGGTTCTCTGCAGTTATTTACTGACGATGCGAGTATTAAGTATGCTGCTGAATGCGAAGCTGAGTTGAGGGGGCTTATAATGCAGGATCTTGGAAATATCGAGGAAATAGTTTATTATGTAATCTTGAACTATATAAAGTAGTATAAGTGTCCTTGTAAAAAACTATTAGGATATAAATAAATTTGTATTTTCTATAATGACTACATTTCGATAAGTTATGTAATATAAATAAGTAACGTACATTATGTAGACTAGTGTTAATATCATATATTTCAATTGAACTTTACTCTTGTATTTTTATTATTTTTTTTATTTTTTTAAGATATGTTATGAATTTATTTTCTTATTCTTATCTATTCATAAGAATTATAGTGATCTATCAGCCTAGGCTCAGATCTCTAGCTTTTCTATAATAATATTAAGCCGTAATTTTTATAATTTATTTATTAAGATTACGAATTAAATAAAGAAAAAAAAAAAAAAGCTTCCTAACTATTTTTTGTTAAGCTTTCTATATGAATTGAATAATATTCAAAACTGTGGTGTGGCATATAGAAACACATAATTATTAAATCATGGGGGTAACATACAGAACTAAATTTTTCAAATAAAGAAAAGGTTTAGGCAAAAACAAAATAATAATTTTATTCAAATATATGTATGAAAAAAGTTCATCGAACCTGAGACTTTTAGCATAGAAATCGTATGCTATACGCGTTGCCTTGCAAGTATTATGCCGATAGTTTTGAAATTGTGTTCCATTCTGTGTGTGATATATTGTTATAAGTTTACTTTTTTTTCTTCAAAAACACACTCGTAAATTTTTTTTTTTTATTTTAATTTGCACCAATTAACAAAAATAAACATTATACATACTTATAAACTAAATTGAATTACACTAACAAAACATAAAATGAATTTATTACAGTAATGTAATATGATACATATAAAAAAAATAATAAATAAAAAGAAAGAATTTTATTATGTTATCATTTATGCTGAAAAGGTATTTAATATTTATACGATTTAATAATTGTATTATTAGGTCATATAATTATCATTTGATATTGTACTAGGTCAGTAGTGATTTATGAATTTTCTTTTTGAAGGTGTATTTTGTAACTGCTGGTGAAAAAAGATGACTAAAACGATTGATTACAGTACAACATCTATTTATGGGTTTATTTTTAGCATATTCAGTCCTATGTGTATATTCTTTTAAGAATTTAGTATGTCTGGTAGGTTTGACGTCGTTGTTGATAATAATTATGTCTCTAATGAAGTCCACGTCTATTTTTCCTGTTAGGACATCATAGGTAAAATAAGAAGACAACAAAGACCGGCGTGACTCCAGACTCAACATATTCAGGGATTGAAGTCTATTTTATATGAAGGAATATTGTGGAAGTCATTGGGATTATATTGGCTTCTCAAAGCAAATAATAAAAATTGTTTTTGAACCGACTCAATTTTATTTCTGGGTACAGAAAATGCCGAATCCCAAATAATACTTCTCTATTGCTGAGCAATGGAGCGATTTAGTTACTTCAGTATTATTGAATTCTCTGGCTCTCTTCTTAATGAAACCTAGCATTTTGCTTGCTTTAGAAATAATAGAATCATAATGAAAATTCAAATTGAGTTTACTGTCCATAATAATACCCAGATCAGTAATATGGTCAACGCGTTCTAAAGTGGAGTTTTGAAGTGAATATTCTTGAAAGAGGTTTGAACGCTTACGTGAAAAACTAATAACATAACATTTTTTAACGTTAAGATCTAATTTACTAGTCTCGCACCAAGAATTTAGATGTTCTAACTTTAATTGGAGATAATTAGTGTCAGAAATATCCTTTACAATATGATACATTTTCAGATCATCAGCATAAATCAGATGCGGAACACCCGCCAAACACAGAGAGGTCAGAAATGAAGATATTGAAAAGAATAGGGCCTAAATGATTTCCTTGGGGAACTACAGAGTAGACATGGATAGGTTTCGACTTAACACTCTGGAACTTGACAAATTGAAGTAAGATCCCAATAGACAGATTGAATGACAATTCCCCTATAGTTTTCAACCGCAGTCTTATCCCCCTTTTTATGAATAGGTATGAGGTGTGAAGTTTTCCATATTGACGGGAAAAAACCAGAGGATAATGAAATAATGGCCTGAGATATAGGCTTAAGTGTATGTTTTTGATCAGCGTCGAATTCTGAGTCGATTTAGCTTTGTCAGTCCGTCTGTTCGTCCGTGCGTGCCAATGATAACTCAAAAACTAATTGAACTAAGTTCACCAAATTTTCACAAATGATTTACTGTAGTAAGTGTCAGAATCCTGTTTGAATTGAACATAATCTAGATTAATATAAATCGTTGAAATTGCTTGGATCCTGGCATATAACTTCATTGAAATTGCTTGAATCCTGTCATATAACTTCAGTTATTTGGCTATATCTCAGAAACTATAAAAGCTATGATATTGAAATTTCACACAGAGGAATATATTAGTAGGGTCAATGCGTTTATTAAATGTCGCTGAAAATGCTTGGCTCTTTCTAGTAGCAGCCACACAACTTCAATAGTAGTTAAAAAATATTGACAACACAGTACTGAAATTTTGCATAAATTAATATGGTAATATTTCAACTAAAAGTTAAAACTAAAAGTCTGTCCCATGTTTTTAAATGCTCGCATTATTTGGTGGGAATTGGTTACAATTTGGTTCCCCTTGAGTTAGTGTATGTATATATTGTTGCTTAAAGTCGTTTGTGTTTTTAAAATTTTATAAAAAAATAAAACTTTTCTTCTAAGGATGGCGTAAAGTTTTTACAAAATGGATGTACAGCTGGGCCAAGTGATTTATCAACACCAAGTGGCGCTGAAGGGTACGATGCCATATAAATTACCGACAATAAGTACATGAATAACGTAATGATGATATAAACATATGAACTCTTTATTTTTACTTTTTGTTATTATAATTATTTTTTGGCATGAATTAAAATAAATCGCTTGTCAACAAATAAAATATTTTCTTCATTTTCATACAGTCCATTTGGCTTTTTTCATTAAAGCCAAAAGGATCGGTATTTCTACAATGTTTGGTTTACTTTAGTTTTTGGTAACGTGTTATAAAATATTGCGACAGTGACTTTTGTATTCGTTCAGTAATGTTAACGTAATATTGTTATATTGACAGAGACTTTTGTATTCGTTCAGTAATGTTAACGTAATATTGTTATATTGTAGTATGTGCAACTAAAAATTTTTGTATATTTTCACGGGCAGAATTTTTTATTTATTGAAGCCCTTTTGGATGTATATCTCGTCAAAAGTAATTCATTAATTAGAACTCTTGCTTTTCAATTCTATCATTTATTTCAACAATTTTGAAAAAATTCCACAAAAAATATAGTCAGCTGCTTTCAATAATGTTATTTTATTTAGCCTACCGTAATATGATAGCAGTTTTTTCTGGTAACCTCCTATCTTATTTGGGAATTTTTTCGTAAATTCTAAAATTCTTATTACTGAACTTTAAGAAAAAATTTGTTGCTTTCAAACGCCATTTGCAAATTTATTGTGAATGAAAGTTTTATTTGTCGAGAAAAAGAATCTAAAGGGTTACTGACTTTGTTAAATTTTAAAAGAACAATATAAATTTTTTTTGAGGAAATTTCTGTAATTTTGAGCAACACTTCCACTAAACAAAGAAATACACTTTGTGGTTATGTGCTGACCACATCGGATTTTTTTTGCTTTTATCTCGAAAAACTTTTGATAACTTTTCAAAATGTAAATTATAGCTTTTTTTGCAATTCTTGTGGCAACCCTCCTTACAATCTGCTTTTTATATGATGTATTATATGTTCCGTTTACATGGCAACTTGAAACGTATTTGAAGCCTATTTTATGCCCATGTAAATTTTACTTGACTAGAAGCCAGCTTCACTTAAGTCAATCAAAATACTTTGTTTACTTGACTTGAGATGTAATAGCTGAACGTCATTTTCGAGCTTTCAAACTAACATAGTAAAAATGCATCCTGAATATTGAAATAATTTCAAATCAAGTACTCAAGCTGCCATGTAAATGAGGTAATATGCATATTTATGGTGTGTATTTAAATATATGAACATGCATGTGACTAGAATAAAAATGTAAAAATAAAATACAAAAATTATTAGGAGCACATTCATATTGCATATGTAAGTTAACGATAGAATCGTATAACGTAGTACACGCGCTATACCAAAAAGCTGACATATCAACGAAAATTTTTTTACAAAAACATTTCCACAAAAAATACTTTCAAAATCAAATTTCATAATTTTTTATTATTATAAAATTGTAACTTGAAACTTTTTTTAAGTAAATTATAATTTTAAATTCTTACTTTTCGTACTTCTGCTTACTTTGCTCAAAATTATTTCTCACACTTTTAAATACAAAGTAACCATTAATTAGTATAAATATAATTAACTGATACATTAGAGTTTAAGTTTAATTTTGTAATTCAATTCAATTAATAAAGACTACACTCGATAACTAGCGATCGTGACAGGACAAGCTTACAATTCTACATGCGTGAAAGCATAAGATCGTTCCGGAGCTTGGTGCAATTCAGAGGAAAGTCAGAGGATTTTGCACCGAAGTGATATTTAGGCTGGATATCTACGAGATATCCAGCCATCCGAGGAAATGTCAATCCAAGCAATCTACATAAAAATTTAGAGGAAATTTTTTTTCCACAACCGAAAAGCAATCAATGAACATCGGATTTTGCAAGTGAATTGCATAAATAAAATGGAAATTATCTAAACTGCCTTAACACAGTTGAATTGGTCAGTAAATGCCGAGCTAGAAATGATTAAAAAATCAAAAGTAAGACTCAACCAAATGGAACAGAGCCTCAAAAATGCCGGAACGAAGTTTCAAACTTTTCCCCCAAAACGCCTACAAGGCCCAAAAGATGAAAAAGAACTAAAGGAAATCCGATTCCGGAAAGCGCGATCTTCCCACTTTGGAACATCAGCTGGGTTCTTCTTGCTTAACAGTTAACAGTTAATCACCAGTCGTCTTTAATAATTAACAAAATTAAAACAGAGAGCTAAACAATAGAAACCGTAAACGCCCTTAACGCAACCTGCAGGAACAGGGCTTTAGATGTATTTATAAGAGGGTCAAATGGAAACTTCACGCGTATGCTAATGATCCAGAGGCCGCTAACACTATCCGAAGCTTATTCTTCTTGTATGGAAATACAAAACTTCAATTTTCGAAACATGCCAGTACACAACAAAAACTTTGACAATTCAAACGTAGCACCTGTGAATCAAATGACAAAAAGACAAGCTATACCAATCGTGGCACCAAAGCGTAACCATGATATTTACTTACCAAAAACTAACGAAAATTGTTCAACTGCAACTCCAGCCAGATCAACACAGCCAGAACCAAAGATGGGTCAGTAAATATTAACCATATGAATAATTTCAGAAGGTGCTTCCAGCTAAATCACCAGAGAATGTTTTGCGCTGAACCAGAGGAAGGAGATTATTATGAAGAGTACATCAAGAATTACGATAACGAGCAAGAATTAGCAGGAACGGAAAATGACGGAGAAAATGAACTCAATTTTATCAGTCAGGCCTGTCTATTGTACCACACCTAGAGTATGCCACTGAACACAACCAGCTATTGAAAGTTTTGATACACAAGAAAGACTTTTATAAGAACCGAATTAGCTTCAAGTTCAAAACCTGTAGAAAAAACATTTATTATAACATCGGCGGCTGGAATATTAAACTTACTAAAAAGATAACAGGTAAATTCTTCAACAGCATAGGTAACTCCACCAAACTCTCCAAAACCACCAATAACTCCACCAAAACCACATTCTTCGCGCTACCTGAACTTAAAATTTTTGACGTTATTATAGGAGATGATACATTAAAGGGAATAGAAGCAGTTATTGACAGAAAAAATAACACAATGAAAATAGCACCAAATATCCACATTCCCTTAAAGGAGAAACAAATTAGAAATCAGAAATGAACATCTAAATGCAGAAACGCAAGAAAAGTTAAAAATACTAGTAGAGAATTATAGATCACTTTTCGACTTATAAATCAACGATGTGATAAAAATTTTCATGTAAATCTGGACAAAACTGAGTTTTTAAAAGGTTCAACTGAATTTTTGATCGCAGTGGCTCTTGTCGCGGAATAGCGGGAAAATGTGTTTCAGTTATATTCCAGTTGTCGTTCTGATTTGAGATATGTCGTAGTGAAGCGACGTTTTTTGTCGAAATGTATTTAACAAGCGACAAGCAAGAAGGAAACACCAAAAATGCAAGTTAAAACAAAACAATTTAACAAAATTACAAAAAATAATAAATTTTATACATAAATTAAATCATAAAATTTATAATTTAATTTTTGTTTTTAGCGCGAAAGTATTTATAAATTTAAAGAATTAGAAATTTCATGACAGAGAACGCCTTTTACGGGTACTCGTTTTTCCCACGAATATATTCAGTAAATATACAAAGGCCTCCTTTGGAAGTCCTTTGGAAGAATAGTTTATAAATTTGTGAACAAAATAAAATGTTTGTAACTAACTTGCTTGAAAAAATTATTGTATTTGCTTACACTGCATTTGGCAAATCCAATGGATTAGAGCTGTTCCTAATCTTAAATCTTTTGATGCTTAATTGTTGTTTTTTTTATTTCATCACTGCCGGAATCAGTTAAATCCGTAAACCATAACGCAAATGAATTTTTTTTTATTATTTAAAAATATGAATATATACACTGAAATTTTTTTTAGTTTGAATTTTACTCGCCAAAATTTCTTGGAACATTTCATTTTAGATTATTTCTCGCACTCACGTCACTCGATAACCAGATTACTACATTTCAAATGATGTGACAGCGACAACGACAAATGTCACATAAGTTACGCGATAACTAGAATAAGGTTCATCATATGTATAATAAATGTATAGAAATTTTCTATTAGTACCTTATATCATTATTTTTTGTGAATGAAAGAATTTGAAAAATATTTAAAAAGAAGTTGAAATAACTATTTAAGTATTGTTACGTAAATGTTTTTACAAAAAAAAAATTGAAATAAATTTTTAAGGTTATAGGACATACATAATTGTTGTTTACTATTTCATAGATAAAAAGGAATTTGTATGTATGTATATATAATTTTTATACCTTGCACTTCGTGAAGGGTATATTAATTTTGGTATGGAGTTTGCAACTACTTGAAGGAGTCATCTGCGGTATGGACATATATATATATATTCTTGCTCAGCGTAAAATTCGACACCAAACTTTCACAAGTTGTTTCTTTTGTGCCAAGGACGAACCCTATTGTTATTGGACCAATTCGGACAACGGGTTCGGGTAGCTGCCATACAACTCAAAGAGTTTATTTTAAATATTTTAAAAACTAATAAAGGTACAAATATAAAATTATGTATACATGTGTCCATTTATATTCTACATATGCTCTAAAAATTTTAATGGGATAGCTGCACCGCTTCGGGTGACTGCATACAACTCCAAAAGAAAATTTTTTATATTCGGCAAAAGAATAAAGTCAGATTCATGAAACTTGGCAGTCATGTGTCCAATTATAGGTCAGATATATTTCTGAAGTTTTAGTGGAATTGCTTGACAGGTTCGGGTACCTGCCATACAACTCCAGAAGCTAATATTAAATATTTGGAAGAATAATCAAGTCAGATTCATGAAACTTGGCAGTCGTGTGTCCAATTATAGGTCAAAGATATTTCTGAAGTTTTGGTGGAATTGCTTGACAGATTCGAGTAGCTCCCATTCAAGTCCAAAAGCTTATTTTAAATATTTGGAAAAATAATAAAGTCAGATTCACGAAACTTGGTAGTTGTGTGTTCAGTTATAGATCAGACATATCCGTGAAGTTTCTATAGAATGGTTTCACAGGTTTGAGTAATTGCTATACAACTCCAAAAGCTTATTTTCAATATTTGGAAAAATAATAAA